ATAGATAGATAGATAGATAGATAGATAGATATGGCAAAGCTCTCCCAAACTGTAGAAATCAGAGTTTCTAAGAGCCTCCCCTTTTCACCTCAAATATGGGTTAAGGGGTTGGGGTGAGGGAGGAGTGGGAAATGGGGGAGGCAATTCCATTTAAAGATGAAAGGTGCAGTTTCTTTAAAAAAGTAGTAAACATGAACCAGTACATGCTTTTGTGCAGACTAATGACTTTTTAATGTACATCTCTGTACAGAATTCTATTAATAAGCCCAGTCTTCTTGAGTTCAAATCTGGCCTCAGACACTTACTAGGTAGGTGACTCTGGACAAGTCACTTAACCCTGTTTGCCTCAGTTTCCTCACCTGTAAAATGAGCTGGAGAAGGAAATGGCAAACCACTCTAGCATCTTTGCCAAGAAAACCCCAAATGGGGTCTTGAAGAGACTGAAAAGACTGAACAACAACAGTGTTTTATAGAGAAGGGCACAAAGTTTTCTGGGCTTTGAATGCCAGGCTGATGAGTTTAGATTTTATCCTGATAGGACTGGGGCATTTTGCTGAGTTTTTGAGCAGGCAAGTCAGGATGAAAACAGTGTTTTAGGAAGATTAATTTGGCAGTGAGTGGTCGTGTGGACTAATGGCTAGAGAGCTGACTTCAGTTTCAGGAAGACCTGGGTTCTAGTCCCACCTCTGACACAGACTGCCTATGTGTGACCCTGGGCAAATCATTTAACCTCTCAGTGCCCCCAGTAAGCTCGCTAAGACCAAATTGCTGACTTTCTGCCCTTCTGCATTGGTAGGGGGATTTTTCTCAAGGGGAATTCCTTTTACTAATGAGATCACACACAAGTCTAGATCCAAAATTTGGTTGTGATGTACAGGGGTGAACCTCTTGCTCTCTGCTCATCTAACTAGAGGGGCAATGTGATACAATGGAAAGACTCAGGAGATAGATGACTCAGCTTCAAATCTCGCCTCTCACCACCTGTGTAACCTTGGGCAAATCATTTAACCACTCTGGGCCCCAGCTTCTTAGCTAGAAAATAAAGGGGTTGGATAATTGCTGTTTGTAGATCTGTGATCCTCTTTTTCCTACTCATCTTTCAAGTACCAGCCTAAATCTCACTGCTCTGCCCACTCCAGGCCTTATTGATCCCTCTGAGGGCCCTAGGGACTGTATTCACTTTTGCCACTTAGAGTACATTGCTTTGGGCTGTGATCAGCTGCATGTATATGTGTCTTGCTTCCCCAGTTAGATTGGGACTATCTTATAGACCTTAGTGTTCCCCCGCAGTTGAGCATATGATCACAGAATAAATATCTCTTTATTGATTTAAATGGTCTGTGTCATTATACTCCATTTTAGACTATGAATTCTCTTTTAAAATATACTTTTATTTATTTTGTTAAATATTTTCCAATTACACGTACATTTTTTTAACCTTCATTTTTTTAAACGTTTTAATGTTTTAAATGAAGACCCCAGTTGGGTTTGCTGCCCCATTTGTGCCTTAGCTCCCTTCTCACCTAGTTTTTATAGTTTTGTCTTAGTCTTTCCTTTCTCAGCAGGACATCCCAACCTAGGCATTCTGGTCCCACTAGACTCAACTTGTAGGAGACTGGTAGATTGGATGTTCCTAAGCACCTTGGCTGGGGTAGAGGAGTGGAAGGTGGTGGCTTGGGGAGGGAAAGCACTGAGGGCATTAAGGGTTGGAAGATCCGATCTCAGAGTCGGACTTCTCTTTCTTTGTCTCCCCCAGGAGCATTCCATCAAAGTGCTGGAGCTGATCTCCACCGTGTGGGATTCTGAGCTGCACATAGCAGGCTTGAGGCTACTCAACGGATTGCCTCTGCCTGACTTTGCTCACCCACAGCTCCGTCGGGTAATGCCTTCCCTCATGGAGATCTTGCAGACAGACAGCATCCTGGCCCAGGTACCCGAGGACCTCCTCAGTGACAGTCATGAATGGCACTATCCTCCAACAGCCAGCCCCTCCCCCCCAACACACATAGACGGCCACTTACTTGTGACACAGTCCCCACCTACCCTGCAGCCTTTGCCTCAATGGTAAACTGAGTCACTTCTCCTTTTGCTTGCCCCAGTTCCCTCTGCCCACCCCGCACCCCTGAATCTCACACTCAAGTCCAGCTCCCCTTCTCAGAGCACTGGCTTTAAAGTTAAGAGGACCTGGGTTCAAATTTATGTCTTGCCACTAGCTCTGTAAACTTGGGCAAACCACTTAAAACTCTTTGAGCCTCATGAGAGAATTGGACTCTGAGATGGACTCTGAGGTCCTCTCCAGGTCTAAATCCATGATTCTATTGTGATCATAATAGCTAGCATTTGTATGGTGCTTTAACATTTGCAAAGCACTTTACAAATATCTCCTTTTATCCTCACAACAACCCTGTAAGGCAGGTGCTGTTATTATTCCCATTTTACAAATGAGGAAACTGAGGCATGAAGAGATTAAGTGGCTTGCCCAGGGTCACACAGCCAGTAAGTATCTGAGACAGGATTTGAACTCAGGGCTTCCTGACTCGAGGTTCAGCACTCTATCCACTGTTCCACCTAGCTGCCCTAGGTGATATTCTCCCCTCCCCCTTCAGGTCCAAGCAGTTCGACTCCTGAGTCATCTGGCCCAGAAAAACGACCTATTATATGACATCCTCAATTGCCAGGTAAGTCTACTCTCCCTCCCATAGGGGAGGGGGGCAAGGAGTGAGGTTGAAGGAGACAGGATTGTTGTTGCTGTCTGTCCTTTGTTTTTGAAGAGGACCAATGACCTCAGGAGGGTGATGTCTTGACTTGCAAGTGAATTGGATTTAAGCGAGGGAGGGCTGTGCAAAGTAAAGTCACCAGCCGCACTCTCTCCTCCAGAGCCATCTGAGTCCAGTGGCTGGATATAGATCAGGAGGACTGGAGATGGGCCCATGCTACCTGTGTGTCCAGCAATAGAATAACTGACCTACTACCTTTTACTTAAATGTACCAGACACCCAATTTCAATAGTGATTTTCTTGCCCTGATTTCTAAGTACATTTCTAATGCCAAGATATTCAAACCAATTTCCTCTCTTCTGCATTTTTCCTGTCTAGGTCTGCTTCTAAAATTTCATAACAATGAATTGCTAAGTGTACAACTGTACTTTGACATTCAGAGGCTTTGGAGGAAAAAGGGACCAAAGGGATGGGGGGGTGGGCCAGTGGACTGTAGATTCTCAGGGTGTGGAAAGTCTTGAACAGATTATTTTGTCCATCCTCCTCCCCCCATAATGCATAGCAACTAAAACCATCCTGAAGAGGAAGAGGGGAGAAGTGGCCTTGTTTAGAAGGAGTTGCCACTGAAGATGTAAAACTTTGGAGGTTTGATGTGAAAAAGAGGTAGCCCCTGATGCTGTCCCTCCCATAGCTAAAACTCTATGGAGATGGGTAAGGGAAGAGGCAATAGACTTTGTTTTTATTTCAATTTTTCCCAATTACATGTAAACAAAAAATTTCAAAATTCTTTTTAAAAAAGTTTGAGTTTCAAATTATATTTATATTTTATATGATATAATATTTTATAAAAATCATTTATAATGTCATAGCATATATGCCATTATATAATATTTTCTATATTATATATTCCCTCCCTCCTCTTCCCCCTCCTTGAGGAGGCAAGCAATTTGATGTAGATTATACATGCTCAGTCATGCAAAACATTTCCATATTAGCAATGATAAGGAAACTGAGGCAAACAGAGGTCAAGTGACTCACCCAAGGTCACACAACTAGTAAGAGCTTGAGGAAGACTCAAGTCTTCCTGACCTCAGTCCTAGCATTCAATCCATTTTGACACATAGCTGCCTTGAGGTGGGGTAGATTTAGAGGAGTCACCTGAATAAGGGAGTTGGTATGAGATAGCATAGTGGAAAGACTGCCCAACTTGGAGTCAGGAAAATTGAGTTTTGATCCTGATTCTAATATATACTGAGCTGTTTGACTCTGGGCAAGCCACTTGTCTCCTCTGAGCCTCAGTTTCTTTACCTGTAAAATTGTAAAACCTGTACCACTTACCTCATAGGGCTTTATCATGAGGAAAGTCCTTTGTAAATATTCAAAGGCTGTAGAAATATGACTAATTCTTTGCCCTTCTCTCTAACCGTTCCTTCCCACCCACCCCCCCCCCCCCCCCCCCACCCCACCCCCCCCCATTAGGTACATTGTAATTTCCTGAACCTGCTTCTGTCCACGCAACCTGGGAGCCTGCTGTTTGAGGTGCTAGTGTTTGCAGAGCGACTGAGTGAGGGTCGGAGTTGTCCCCATTACCGAGCAGTGAACTGGCAGTACAATGAGCAATCTTTGCACGAAGCGCTCTTTGGGGATGAGTCCCGCCTGGCTGACCGGCTGCTGGCTCTGGTCATTCATCCGGAGGAGGAGGTTCAGATTCAGGCCTGCAAGGTCATTGTCAGCCTGCAGTGCCCTCAGGACTTTGGCACCCGGCCCTCTTCCTGCCATACAACCAATTCCTACTTTAATGAAGGGGATGCCAGTTAAGGGAAAACCAATAAATGTCATATGGGAGAGAAAGAGAAAAAAAAAACAACAACAAAGAAAGTGGGGTGGGGATACTTGAGAAGAGGCAGCATTTGTTCCAAATCAGAGCTCCAAAGGGCCTCCAGAAGTCATCTTGGTTGACCCCAGTCCCCAGGGAAGAACAACATATGTGTCATCCTCCTGAACGTTTTCCTCATTAGCACGAAATACAAAGAGCACTAGATTTGGAGTCAAAGGACCTTGGTTCAAATGTCGGCCCTCCCCCTGATGTTTGGGTGATCATAGACCTGAGTATGGTACAGAGAACATGGGTTCCAGTCCCAGATGTATCACTATGTGTGTGACCGTGGGCAAGTCACATCATCTCATCTGTTGGTCAAAAATGGCCTTTCAGGTGGTTTCTAAGTAAGTCTACAATCTTGATATTTTCTCCATGAAAAACTAGAAACTGCAGTGGGTCCCAAGTCACTCAGAAATTCAAAGACAAGAATTCATCTCCTCCCTCTATCCCCTCCCCCAGCTCCCAGATACACCCTTTTGGTCAAATTACCTTATGTCTCCCAGAATCTATTTTTCTTTTTTTAGAGATTTAGATCACTTCCCAGATTTCCACATGTGGAGTCAGGGTTTGTGCCTTGCACATCCATGGACATGCACTGGACTTGGGGACCGGACCAAAGGATTTGAAGACCAAGCCAAGATCATCAAATTTATGTAGAGGGTTAGAATAGAGACCTTCTAGTCCAATCTCATTTTATAGAGCAGGGAACAGAGGCCCAAGTGAGGTGACTTGTCAAAGGTCATACAGTTGAGTCAGTGCACAGCTGATTTCCAGTATACTGATAGTTGGTAGCATCACATTGTTTCTTCCTTGTGGTTGTTGAGTTGGTCTTGGTGGTGGTTCATCTTTCATTCTCAAAGAGGACACCAGGAGGGTGATGTCTTGACTTGCAAGTGAATTGGATTTAAATGAGACAGAGCTGTGCAAAGTTATCAGCCTCACTCTTTCTGAGTCATCACAGTCCAGTGGCAAGACATGTCAAGATGACTGGCAATGACCCCCACTGGTCTTGGTTATGCTGAGGCAGAATGATATGATGGAAAGAATCACTAGATTTGAAGTGAGAGGACCTGCGTTCAAATCCTGACTTCGTCACTAACTACCAGTGTTACCTTGGGCAAGTCAAAATCTCTCTGGGTCTCAGTTTCCTTAACTTTGAAAGGAAAGGGTTGGATTAGATGCTCTTGAAGGGCTCTTACAGATTTGAATCCATGATCCTAAGAAACCCAGACTTTGGGAAGTAAAATGGCTATTCTAGTCTGAACCACTTGGGGATGAGAACAATTCTTGGGAAATGCCCCCTAGAAATCACCCTTCCCCCTGAATCCATGGCTTGCTTCTTCCCAGCTCTGTTCTCCTTTGCATATGGGGCCCTGCCCCTTTTAGAGACTCAGAAAGGATTTGAGGAAGGAAAGAGACATAGATATGGGGAGAGATCCAGTTCAGAGTCACTATATCCTTTTGTCCTAAGACATCAGTTCTGATCTCTCTTCAGGTGATTACCCATTCTACAATCTACTGAAATCTACCCTAGATCTTGGACACAGCCATTCAAATCATGGGCCTCTACTGTTGTGTTTCTTTTTTACTAACCAACTACAAAATATATTAGTTCAAAGCATAGTTAGGGCTGTCCCTTGCACATGTAGCCTGGGGTGTCGTGTGACTCAACGGGAGGCAAATTGACATCTCTAGCCTTTTTTCCCTTCACCCTTCTCCAAGGGAGACTTCATTTCCTGCCAAGAAAGGAAACAGGTGTTTGGCACCAGAAGCTTGGCCACTCTGCTCTCCTCAGAGAGGGGGCACCAGGCTAGAATTTATGTTTGCTTCCTTTAGTATTCTTAGTTTGGGAAATGTGATGTTCAAGTTAAACTTCTGATTGCTAATCATTAAAGGAAAAAGGAGGACCCAAGCTTTAAATGCAACATTTGACTCCCCATCAAATAACAGTTCCAAAATGGACATACACTGCCATTAGCAAAGAGACCTATTTATCCAGATAATACCAGACAATACAGAGTGAAGGAGCTCCCTCAACGTGAAGTAATTCTATTCAATCAAGAGAGAGTTTCAGATCTCATCCAAAGGAAAGTTCCCTGAAGGGTCTGAAATCATACTAGGGATAGAAACATGATGGAGACTGCCCACTCCTCTCATGTTAGATGAGTCCCAGAGTCTTTTACTTCAGCCACCTGAAGTGGAGGTGGCATTTTCCATCTTCTCTCTCCAGCCAGAAGCCTCAAAAGACTGAAGAGCCCAAAGAAGACTTGAAGAGACAGGAGGGTGCGCTCTCTCTCTCTCTCTCTCTCTCTTTCCTCTGTCTCTCTCTCTCCTGTTTCCCTTTCTTTCTTTCTTTCTGTCTCTCTCCTCTCTGTCTCTCTTTCTTTCTGTCTCTCTCCCCTCTCTCTGTCTCTCTCCTCTTTCTCTCTCTCCCTGTCTCATCCCTCTGTCTCTCTTTCTCTGTCTCTGTTTCTCTTCTCTCTCTCTCTCTGTCTCTCTCTCTCTCTCCTGTATCTCTCTATCTACCTCCCTCCTCCTCTCTGCCCTCCACTTTCTCCTCCCTCCCCCCCTTTCTCCCTCAAACTTCACCCATCCACCCAGATCCTTACATAGATGCAGGGCATTGATTTCAATGATGAGTTTTATGCCGATGGGCTTTGGTATTTGGGTTACAAAAGTAAAAAACATTCGTTAGATGGCATAGTGAACTGTGACAAGAAGGTCCTCTTCTCACAGAATACCACATCACCATTAGAATGAGAGGGGGTACCTGTAGGGACTGGGTGGGACTAGGGAACATGTGTGGCCAGGGTGACTCACACTTCCACCTGCAAAGTCACTGATGTCCTCCTATGAAATCATCAGGTAAGCTAATTAGTTCCCTGAGCTGGGATTCTCTGCTGATCAGTTCTGTGTCACACAACTCTGTATGCATCTCCACTAACCTACCCTCTAGTGCCCTCTGCTGGGTGTCTCCACTAAGCTGATGCTGCTCTTCACTGCCATCTGCTGATTTTCACCTGTTATTGAAATTCTTCTCCGCCCACTGCTCCTGTATGTGTGGTGGGGTGTCTAATAGTTCCTTAAATGACAGCTCCAGGGGCTATTTCAACTCTTTAGTGATAAAATCTTTAAGCATTTAAGCTTGTCTTTTAAAATGACTTTGTTTCACTTTTTCTTACTAATCTCTGACCCTAATCCACAGTATCACTTGGGGTTAGAAAGTTGTTTTCTCACTCCTGTCATCCCAGTTTTGATCCATGAAAATCTCACTTTGGAAGCAGCACCAGAAGTGTCTGGGCTTAGTTGACAACTCTTATCCTATTTTACTGCCAAAATGAAATTTCTGCCCTCCTTACAAAAGAAAAGAATAGACCTTACCTGTTCTATTTTTAATGAATTCATGTCATTCTAGGTACTTTGATTGTATGAGTGATGGCCTTTGTGATAAGCAATTCCCTTTCTTAATGGTCACAAACTATTCCTTTAATAATATTCTAGATTTTGTCAGAATTAGATGGCAAATCAAATTCACTGGCTTCTAGTTTGGAGATTCCATCCTTTCCTCTTTTTAAAAAATCAGAACACTAGGGGCAGCTAGGTGGCACAGTGGATAGAGCTCCAGCTTTGGAGTCAGGAGGACCTGAGTTCAAATCTGGCCTCAGACACTTGACACTTACTAGCCGTGTGACTCTGGGTAAGTCACTTAACCCCAATCGCCTCACCAAAAAAAGAAGAAAAATCAGAACACTTGCCTCCTTTAAGCCTACCACACCTTCTATTCTGCATTATTTAAAAAAAGATCACTGATAGCGCCTCAGGCATTACAGGCGCCAGTTGTTTATTTCAGTATCCTTGGACATGGTTCATTGAAGCACGGTAACTGGAGCTAAGTAAAGGCAGCTAGGTGCTCTCAGGTAGAAACTGTGGGCAGGAGAATCTGGTAGACTTGAAGAAGCTAAAGGATTAAACTTTGTTTGGAACTCTGATTGCATCTCCCTAGGGAAGGTAGGTGGCACAGTGGGATAGAGTGCTGGGCCTGGTGCCAGGAAGACCTGAGTTCAAATCATGTCTCAGATACTTACTAGCTAGGTGACCCTGAGCAAATCATGTCACCCTGTTGGCCTTAGTTTCCTCATCTGTAAAATGAGCTGGAGAAGGATATGGCAAATCACTCCAGTATCTTTGCCGAGAAAAGCCCACAAAGAGGCAGCCACAACTGAAATGACTGAACAAACACGGAAGGTATGGTCATATCCGTTAACATCTTACTGAGATCATAGCACCATAGGATAATAGATTTAGAGCTGAAAGTCCCCCTAGAGGCCATCTGACCCAGCACCCACATTGTATAGATGACTGAGCCTATCTCCTTGATAGGGTCCTGTCAATATCTTCAGCCTTGGAAGGTTGTAGCAACTAGGTGGTGCAGCAGATAGAACCTGGGACCCAGGACTCAGGAAGACCTGGGTTCAAATATGGACTCAGCAGATCTAAATAGTTGGAAAAACATCAGTTGCTCATGGATAGGCAGAACTAATACAATAAAAATGACAATTCTCCCTAAATTAATTTACTTATTCAGTGCCATACCAATCAAACTACCAAAAATTATTTTATAGATCTAGAAAAAATAAAATTCATCTGGAAAAACAAAAGTTCCAGAATATTAAGGGAATTAATAAAAAGAAATGCTAGGGAAAGTGACCTAGCCGTACCAGATGTTAAATTATATTAAAAAGCAGCAATTATCAAAACTAGTTGGTACTGGCTAAGAAATAGAGTGGTGGATCAATGGAATGGGTTAGGTACACAAGACACAGTAGTCAATAACTATAGTAATCTACTGTTTGATTAACCCAAAGATCCCAACTTCTGGGATAAGAACTCACTATTGGACAAAAACTTCAGGGAAAACTGGATGGCAGAAACTGGGCATAGACCAACATCTTACACTGTATACCAAAATAAAGTCAAAATGGGTCCATGATTTAGATATAAAGGCTGATACTATAAGCAAACTGGAAAGCAAGGAATAGTTTACCTGTCAGATTGATGGACAATGGAAGAACTTATGACCAAACAAGAGATAGAGAGCATTATAAAATGTAAAATGGATAATTTTGATTACATTAAATTGAAAAGTTTTTGCACACACAAAGCCAATGCAACCAAGATTAGGAGGGAAGCAGAAAAATGGGAAAGAATTTTTATAACCAGTGTCTCTGATAAAGACCTCATTTTTAAAATATATAGAGAACCGAGTCAAATTTATAAGAATACAGGTCATTCCCCAATTGATAAATGGTCAAAGGATATGAACAGACAGTTTTCAGATGAAGAAATCAAAGCTATCTATAGTCATGTGAAAAAATGCTCTAAATCACTATTGATTAGAGAAATGCAAATCAAAACAACTCTGAGGTACTACATCACACCTATCAGATTAGCTAACATGACCAAACAGGAAAATTATAAATGCTGGAGA